ACACAACAGACGGAAAATGTACATTTTCCCTCTCCTTTCCAAAAAACCCTCAAATAACATACATTTCCCCTCTAAGTCTGAAACGCCACTAGCCAGATGACGTAGATGGCATGGGGAGCAGCCAGCTCTCTCTCTATCTCTGTTTCTCTCTCTTTCTCTCTCTCAAAACGTTAACAACCACTAGCCAGAGGACATGTTGGATGGAATCCAATCGTTGCAACCTATGTTTGTTGGCACTGTGGTTTAGACCAGCCCCCACTCTTAGCAGAAGAATAGCAATAGAAAAGCCGTTGTTGTTGTTGTTATTCGAAGACAATAAGGACGACAGATGTTTGATAGGAAAGAAGGAGTGGAGTCAGCACACCACACTAAAATACCCGCCGACCACCCACGAACAAATAAGTTTTTATCTATAGTCTGGACCTGCGACTCAACGTCCATCACTTATAGATCCGTTTGAGTAGATTCTAAACAAAAGCGTTACAATAAAGAACGCCAATGCTCAAACACAATAGATCTAACAGCCATGTACTGCTTGAGGTAAAAGTAAGACAGGTGGAAAACATATAAAACAAGGACAAAAACGGACATTCTCAACTTAATTATTTTTTATGTTTTACGCCCCTCTCAAGACAATTAGGGTCATTTTGGAGGCGGGCTGCTTCGATCCTGCCGTATAGAGGATTAGGTGGGAAATAACACCCGGCAAACAGTTGGGGACACTTCCCGACGCAAGAACAGAACACATGCGTTCCGCGTGCAGCTACGAAGAACCTGAGGATTACAGTACACACACCAGTGACAGAAGTGTGTGCTGTGTACTATTTCAAGCGAAGTAGAGAAGAAACACAACCTTGCACGAGTTTCACGTTTGTTTTCCCCCCATTCAGTCTTCTTGTTCTATCCCCTGGCGTTGTCATTCTATGTAAAACAAGCTGAAACAACAGGAAACACGTGTCTGTTGTTGATTTGTCTCTCTGTGCTCAAACACCAAAAACGTGTGGGCGCCCCAGAGCACCAAAGTGCACCACCACGAGGACAAAGTTAAAGTTTGCTCCCAAGCAGCAGACTATTGTCAGGTAAACAAGACCACGCCACTTGACGTAACTCTCGTTTGAGGTTGAGTAGATCTGAAAAGAATGCACATCGACACGGTAACGACCATTTTGTGAGGAAAGCAAGCAAAATAGGCCTAGTCAGACACAAAAAGGAAAGAAAAGAACCACACAGTTTGGTCAGGTAAACAAGGCCACGCCACTTGAGGAAAGTCTCCAGGCGTAAACACAAATCACGTAACATACAACAGTGTTGTCAACACTGGCGACTCGAGAAACCTCTGGTGTCGTCTTGACTTGGCCATAAACATAAACTCTGTTCAATATGTCCAGCGGTCTGGTCACCCCAATAAAGGTAGAAAACGGCCCAAGCTCTTCAGAAGCAGCCC